AAGCCCCAAAATCTCCACCAATTTTGAAAAAATTAGTTTAACATTTGAACCTTTCGATGAAAGGTGTATCAGATGTTAAGCTGATAAGAACAGATTTATTCAGAAAAATTTTTAAAAAAGGTACATGAAATGGCAGCTAGATGAGAATTAAAAGGTGAACATGGGGGGGACACATATAAAATGGGGAATCAAAAAAAAGTATAATAATAAAAATATCAAAAATTCAAAAATTCAAAAATTCAAAAATTCAAAGTACATAGATATATATAAAAAAAAGTTGAACAAAAAGAAACAGAAAAAATATAGTCAGACAGGCTTAAGGCCTGACCTGACGCACTCCCGAGAGGTGCTCAATATATATGTCTCGGGAGGCAGCTATAGTGTCGCTGACGCAGAGCTTACGCATGAGGGTGGCATACGAACGGCTGCACAGCACCCTCATGAAATCTTCATTGGCAGGGTCCCAAGCACCAAGGGCACCCACAATGAAAGGCACCACCACAGCCTCACACCTGTGCTGAGCCGCCAAGTCATCTCGCAGCCGCTCGTACTTGGCCTTCTTATCCGCCGCCGCAGCTTCGAAGGCCGCGAGGCGATTGTCAAATGGCACGGTGACGTCTACGATAAAAATGTTTGGGCCCTTCTTCAGAACTAAATCCGGTCTCAAGCCCTGGTCGCCCAGGACTTGATTCTCGGAGAGGACCTCAAACTTCGTAGACGCAGCCTTCCTAATTCTGGCGACAATGGCGTTGTGTCTCCCCATGTAGAGAGCGGTGTACCGCATGCAGTGATCGACGACGTGGGCTAAGCTTTCATTAATGTACCCACACCGCCGACACCTGCGGTCACCGGATCTCCACGATGAGGAGCCGTTCAACGCCACGAGGTTCAGCCTGGCTCGATGGACAAATCGCCAATCGGCGAACCTCGTGAAGTCGCCTTCCTTGAGGAAGTGGGAAGAGGCAGGGTGAGCGGCCACGCACTCGACGGCTCTGCCTTGATCGGGCTTGGCGATCAAGGYATCGCTTCGTTTGAGCCGAAGAGTGTCGCGAATTGTCCTCATGACCGCCCTCCTCTGCTTCCTTCCCATCACCGTACCTGCGTGTGCGACCGAGGGGGCACCATCCAACGACCATTTGACGCCCAGTCGTTTGGAGGCGTTCCGCGCTCTCGACCACACACTCGACACTCCTGTGCCCCGGGCCTCCCGGAACACGCCCTCGTCTTCGCCKGACAAGTAGGAGCCGACCTCATGGATGGAGGGGTCCTTTGAAATTCGCCGCTTGGTGACCTCCTCCACATGCTCGGCCGCGTCCTCTGCAACCCTCTGGTCCGGCGAAGTAATCAGCTTGAAGGCGCTGTCCACGGCGGCAATATCTGCGTCCTCGGCCAGGACCCGTATGCCACAGCAACCTCTTCTTGTGGAGCCGTATATAAACTCTCCCGAGGCCTCTTGCGGTAGGTAYAACGTCTTTTTGATTTCGGGCCGCATGATTTTGTCGACCCTCGCCCAGTCAGTCTTGGGGAATACCCCCAACCGTTGTAAATGGACGGTCGAGGGGTAGAAGAATGTTTTCAGCGCATCGATCCTCTGCCAAGGAGCCAACATGCTCCTGGCGATGCGCAGACCTATATCAATTATTTCGGCGAGGGTGGACAGAGGCGGCACGATGTTGAAACCTACCTGGGCCCCGAGAAAGGTGGCAGCTTCGCCCTCGGCAAGCGGGCGAAGTGGAGCTCCCTGCAGCATGAACCGAGTGTCCCGGACGCCAACCGGCCGCCGACCGGACAGGTGGAGGGACGCGCACTTCGCGGCGTTCAGCTGGAGCCCAAGCCTGCCCAGGCCCTGGTGGGCCGCGTCGATGGACGCTTGGAGCTCCGTAGCGCTGCTGGCTATTAGGCATAAGTCGTCCGCGAAGGCGAGCACCCTGTGGTCGGCGGACTCACCCTGCAGGAGTGTCACTACTGGGTCTATGGCCATGATGAAAAGAAGACCGCTCAGTGGACACCCCTGCTTGATGCCGGACTGGACTGGGATGTCAGCCGTCATCCCTCCGGCCACACTCACCGACGAGGAGGCACCGTCGTAWATRTCGCGGACGGCCTCGAGGAAGTCGGCGCCGGCACCGCTACTCCGGATCGCCGCTTCGAGGGCCGGATGTGGGATTGCCCCGAAAGCGTTCGACACGTCCAGCCAGGCCACGCATTTGTCTGCAGCGTGCGTCCTGGCCTTTTCGAGCACCCGGTTAAGGGTGTGGACGTGCTCGAACGCACCATCCGCCGGGAGGAACCCCTTCTGGCACTGACTGAGGACCTTATTTGTCGTGAGCCACACAGTCAGGCGGTTGGCGACACATCCCACATACAATTTGTACAAGGTACGGCTGAGTGAGATGGGCCGCCAGTTGCCGAGGTCCTCCTTGGCCCCCTTTTTGAAAATGAGGACCGTCACCGCCTTCTTCCATGCAGGTGGAACTCTTCTGTAACGGAGGCACATGTTGATCACCTCCGTTAGGACCGTGCACTCCGGGTCGAGTTTCTTCCAGTGCCGGTATGTGAGCCCGTCGTCCCCAGGCGCCGTATTCTCGAATTTCCCAAGCCGTTTGGAAACGTCGGCGCACTGGAACGGGCCCATCGGCACTGGGTCACGGCCGTCCACCTGCTGAAAGATGTCAACATCACATGTCGACGGTGCCCACACTCTCCTGAAGTGCTCCTCGACCTCTGGTACCGCAACTTCGCATGTTTTACCCTCACCCGACAAGATGAGCCGAACAGCACGCCGTCTATTCCGCCTGTATAAGGACTGAATCCCCTTAGCATCGGTCGGGTCGATTGCAGTCCTGTTGTTGCCTGAGGATTGACCCCCAGGCCTGGCGGGTAGTTTCACAATGACGGCGGCCTCGGCGGTCATCTCATCGACGAGGACGACAAACCTTGTCCACACCTCGTCGGAACACGACTCCCTGCTCAGGTCGATGAAGCGTTGTCTGAACGCGTGCAGAGGAGTCGTGTCGTCGGGCGAGAGGATCTGCTCCTCACCGTTGACGTCGGCACTTCCGGCGTCAAGGCCCAGCAGGTCGACACCCAGCATGTCGTCGTTTTCCGCCGCTACACCACTAGAAGCAGAACTACTGCTTGGGGCCGGAGATGTATCTCGCGGCCGCCATAGCTCCGGGGACGCTACAACGATGTTGTACCCCTCGTTTCGTGGCGATTCGCGGCGGGGCACGGATAGAGGCAGCAACGGGAAGGAGAGTCTGTCTCCGGACCCGCGCGGCCTCACCGGCGTGGCCCGCCTGGTTGAGGTGGGCATCATGCTGGGTCTCGTTGTCAGGGGTGCGCCGCCTGTGTCCGGCGGTCTGTTACCAACCGGTATCCTTGGCGCACCTCCTGTTGTGGTCGAGGCTGAGCCGCCTGTGTCCGGTGGTCTGTTACCTACCGGTATCCTTGGCTCATCTCTCGTATGCGGGACCGAACCGCCTGTGTCCGGCGGTCTGTTACCAGCCGGTGTCCTTGGTTCGGTCGCCGTCGTGATGGGAGGAGAGGACACGCCGCCTGTGTCCGGCGGTCTGTCACCAGCCGGTATCCTTGGCATGTCCTCAGTCACTACAACCATCACCTCCGCAGGAACGCGGGCGTCACCCCCGCGCACTGTACGCACGGTCGGGTGAGCGCGCGTTCTCTGCCGCGTCGCAGGTGCCGGTAGTGGGACCTCTGCAGCCTCCAGGGCGTCTCGTCTTCGGTGACTTCGGACGTGGTTGGTGAGGCCTTGCTTGCTGGGGAACGACTCTGCACAGCCGTCCACTGTGCAAGAGTACCTCTCGGCCACGCCTCCGTCCTCCTCTATGGTATACCGACACTTGTGGGCGCCCGGACGCACCCCGAGGGTGGACTCACACCCCGCACACCTCACAACCGTTGACTCCACGCCATCATGCATGTCCCTGACGTGCCTTGCGACAGACTGTTTGGCACTTGTCCATATCTTAACCCGAAAGCGGGCGGAACATTCTGCACACGGGCACTTAACGGTCGCGGGCATCGGGTACCATATGGTGAGGCACCGGCCATCGAGCTCGGGTTGTCGGCGAGGTGCGGGGGTACGCGCGAGGTCGTCCGCGACGCTACCACAGTCGGACACCGAATCGCTATCCGACTGGTCACGGTCTAGCAGCGGCGCCACGGAGACCAAATTTGACGGGCCGGCCACCTGGCTGCTGCCAGTGTGGGCGGCCATGGTAAATAAGTAAAAAGTAAAAACTCACATGACGTAGAGGACCAGACTGCTCCAAAAAACGGCTTACAGCTGGTCACGAAAGAATTCACGAACACAGACGACCAGACTGCTCCAAAAGTCGGCGTACAGCTGGTCACGGAAGAATTCACAGGAAACGGACGCTGGCCAGACTGCTCCAAAAGACGGCGATCAGCTGGCCACTTCGAAGAAATCACAGCGACACGGAAACAGCTGGGCCAAAACGCGGACACCAGCCGGGAGACGACGATGATCCTCTGGTGTGGCCAGGCTTGTCCAAAAGGCGGTGTTCAGCTGGCAGGAGCACTCACGAACACGACAGTTGCCAGACTGGTCCAAAAGGCGGTGGTCAGCTGGCTGAAGAACTCACATACACGAAGATGACGATGTTGCCAGACTGGTCCAAAAGGCGGTGGTCAGCTGGCTGAAAAACTCACAACACAAACACGATGAACAGCTGGGCCAAGAGACGGACACCAGCCGGTTGTGAGCCTCTGGGTCACTGAACCCCGAGCTTGGAGTGACCGAAAGAGTCCCAGAGGGTGGACACTCTTCCGCACGAGGCAGGACTGGTGGCCCCGATCCTAGTTGGCCTCTCGGAGTGATTTGTGAATTATTGCGCCGTATGTTTTACGTGGATTGCGCCACGGTTTGGCGTGCAGAGTTTGGCCACACCAAATGGCGAGGGACTCTGCTTTTTAGGTGTGCCACCACCTTTGTCGTATTTTTAACGTAGATTGCGCTACGGGCAGTTTTTAATAGATGCCGACTATTTGTCGTTAACGACCTAACTCCACTCTTCACCGCCGGGTAATTTATTCAATTTCCGGCGGCTGGCTCAGCACGAGGGCAGGGCACTAGGTGCCTAAACCAAATGGGAGAAGGCCGCAACGACACGCAAAATTCACAACCAATCACAGACACGAAAGACACAACAAAGGATCGAGTTACACCACGGCGACCGACAAGATCTAGCGGAGTCTCGGAGCTTCTCGAGCAGAACAGGTTGTAATTTTCGGGCGTCGGGTTTACACTCACGACGCCTTAGATAAACAAACTCAAGTTAAGCTGATAAGAACAGATACTACACTTTGATCTTAGCCGATAGGCCGAGAAGCGATGCTCTACAAACATCACTGAGGTATCTTAAAGACAAACGCGATTCTAAGACGATTGCAGTTTCAAATTTGAGCGTGTTCGGTAGAGCGAAAATTTCGATTTTCGAAAAATCGCGTTTTGAAAAACGGCCGTACACGTCACTAATTTGATGTTTTACACTTCATTTACTGAAGATTTTTCTATTTAAATAGATGATTTTAAGGATTAATTGTAGACGATACCATCAGACAAATGGTATAGCTCAATAGCGCCATCTACCGTCAGTGAAAAACGGACGATTATATGAAATATTATGTTCCAAAAAACACGTATTTCGTTGTCTGTTTTYATGCAAATGTGTTTTTTCATTCGTTTTATAGTTGTTAAATACATAYGAGTTTCAAAAAACCGTTTGAACACATCATAATTCACTACCATAGCGTTTGAATTATAACAAAATATGTKTTTCGGAATACGAAAATTCGACGACGGCGGCGCCGGTAGCCACCACCGTCGTTGGAATATTACGTACGTGTCCGAGTCTGTTGCGACGGTGACGATCGTATACAAATAACGCCATCTCGTTGTCGTACGATCGTTCCAAATATGTACAATATTCCTAATGGTTAAAACAAATGAGAAAAACATTTTTTTTTTAAACATTTCTGTTTAAATTATAYMAAWGAAATTTTATATTTTGAAATTCTAAGTAGTTGTAACTATTATTCAATCAATATCACTACAGATATGCATACAGCTATAGTGTATACGGTATACCAGATGTTCCTAACATTTATGATTATGCGGGTCCTTACCCAATATAAAGGTATAAAAGGTAAAAAATATTACCATCCACAAATAAGAAGATAGAAGAAATATAGACAATAGACGTCTATGAAAGGGTAGAACACGATAGAGAACGGTCCTTATTGGGCGTACCTTTTTTAATATCAAGATTGTGAACGTTTTTACCTGTTAACTTTTATGCAACGTCGACACATTAATTAAAAATACGAAATAGAAATAAAATATACAATATAYATAATAGATAATATCAATTACTATATTTCTTTGARTTTTTGGTTACAAAATAAACTCACATCGAATTAAATTTGATAAATAAAAATAAACACACATTCATCATTGTAAAATCATTACATTTATCAATTATTTGTCACCTTAGGCCATTTTTTTAAGATTAAAATTAAAAAAATTAATATTTATTTACAACATATTTATATTTATATTTAACAGTTTAAGATTAAAAATTTAAAAAAAATAAATTTATTCAATTCAAACCAAAATCAAAAGCAAATCTACCAAAAGTCTTTTGTTAATCGTAAGAAAATTTCTTTCATTTTATAAACAAATTTAAAGTGAATTTTGTCATGAAATGCAAAAAAAAAATATTTTTAATCAGCAACATTTCAAAACACCAAAAAAATATGCCCTTGYTTCAAAATCCCATGCCTAAAAATTATTACTAAAAGTTAAGATAAATGAAAACGTYCCTCGACAAATTGTTCTCAATCGTTTGATTTTAACTTTTAAGGTACAAAATATTGTTTCTTTTATCTGCCAACAATCGTTCTCAATCGTGTTGCTAAAAAGGTAAATCGTACAACATCGGTATAAAATCATATAAAAGTCTTGATGTTGATTCCAATTAAAATATAATTATATAATAATATATATGTATTTTTCATTATTTGTATGGGTTTATGCTAGCTGGTGCATATAAATTCCACCGATTGAGAGTTGAGACCTTCTAAACTTTTTTGTTGCGAGTATCAAATAGCATGTCGGAAGCTCTCCATCCAGATACCACAAGTCACATAACGAATATTCTTAAAAATTGTTAACCTTAAACTCCTTGTATGCCAATGGCATTAGACGCCGAGGCTTATTTATTTAAATTWAAAAAAAAAAACATTTTTGTAAATTACAATCACCCATTCATTTTACTCACTGAAAAAAATGTAAATTCCGCCGGAACGAGTTTTGCAGGTAAAAAAGTATTAATGGAACTTACAATCAACCGTTTCAGTGTACAATATTATACTACTATAATACTATATAGGCAGTATACTAGTATGACTACATATAGGTTCACATTATTATACTCAATAATAAAATTTTGCTTATATAATTTAATTGRATATGCGATATGGCACAACATTTTTTTCTATTTTTACAGCCAATACAGTTGGCAAAATTTAGGTATATTTTGGTAGAAATCACATCCATATCGAATTCCCTAAACCACATTTCTTTTGAAAAAAAAGTCTTAAGTCTGTATGAAGTGGGAAGAAATTATGTTGAAAAAACAAGAGCCTTTTGGGAGTTCACCTGTTCGTAAAACCTTTTTCAACTGAATACATTTGGGTAAATTCCACCGAAGCACCACCGATGACCGATTCCGAACTTTTTAAACCATTTTAATTGATCCACCGATACTTTTTCCCACGGGTTTTTTATTTRAGGAGGAGCATAGAGTAAACTGCCGCATCATTAACCTTTTTCTTAAAAAGTCGATGAGCAAATATTGCAAACTAGGTATAACTTGAAAAAATAAAACATTATACAATCATTGACAAAACCGATTTTCTTTTGTAAGCCTTCTATATACTAAACATACATATGATGGTTATAATAAAATAAAATATAAGTTTATTGTTTAACTATATTTATATCGTATTTTAATACGTGTTATGAGATCTATGCGTATATTATCCGTGGCTTAAAGTCACGATCGATATCGTTTGTAATTTTATACTGTCTAGTTACAGGTATTATTAAATGTTTATGATGTGCCGTGTGTATATTATTAGGTACTCAATAGAAGTCTCTTAGATAGTARGTCGTAAGAATAGAAAAAAAAAATTGAAAAATATTTCTATCATTTAAAATTATTAAAAGAAATCCTAGTAATCGTATAATMAAAAAATTTAATTTAAATAATAAAATAATACTACAATAATTATTTAATCTAATTTATTTAACATTRATTATTCCTTTGTTCTTAAAACATGTTTTTATTTTGACCATCTTCTTTCATCTGTCGTTATTTTGTAACTCTTTCTTTCTTGTATAATGTTCAAATGTTGTATTACCACTTCTTATGCATATTTATTTTATATATATGATATATCATCATACATGTGTCAACTTGAACTTCCTATAGAGCACATTTGAATTAATGTAGTTATGATGATGATATAAATTATAAATGTGCGTTACATTTTGAATGAAAAGATTCACACACATTAATAATAATTGTTAGAACTTCTGATTTCAAGTATTCATTAACTAATCSTAAAATTTTAAAATTTGGATTTACCTTACCAATAATTTTTAAGCAACATAACATAATTAAATAAACAATATACGTACATATATATACATATACGTAGGTATATATGATTTAGGTACTATATAGTTGGTATATAAAATAAATTGTCACAGTTTTTATATTGTATCTTATCGGTTGTGTCGTAAATTATATTTTAGCTACACTTTACATATCATGGACATTTTTAACAATAATTTAATTATGTATAACGTTCTCGTGAACGGCTACGTTGTCTTCGTGTTATGAAGTCRTACTGCGAAAGACGGCGGCAACGGGTCTGTTGACGGCTATTTTGTACTGATAGCGCCCTCTAGTGGTAATACAATATGTCTGTACAATATTCGTAATGATATTATTTTATATTATTATATTGTATAACGTGAGAAATATCATTTATTTTATTATGCTAGTCAAAGTTTCGTAAACGTATACAACTTTTTACTAAGCTACGACTCTGATTCACCACATGTATTATATAACATAAAACTAAACTTGACTAAACGTATGTTATACATTTATACCAATAATAACGTATGCGAATTTAATAAAATTATACGCATTGCAGTAAACGCAGTTTATCCATATTACGTTTATGGATATCACGGGTATCGCGAAAAAAGTTATTCCACGAAGAAAACATAGGTCGTCGTCTGTCGACTGTTAACATATCCGCGAGTTTATMCACGTATCGTGGAATACAAGAAACGGTGTAGTGATACACGGGCTAAAGAGAGAATGATGACATTATGACGATGGTCGATACACATCGATTGACTCGAAAATTAGTCGAAATTAGAATATTATTATTTATTTCACGGGACCAAAAACAAACACAATATTATTATAGCTGCAAGCTGCAACTAGATCATTAGACCGAACGTAATGACGGTSTTGTATAATAATTGACTTCCGAGTTTTTGGCCTTCTGAGGAATGTTCTAAAGTATTCGATGTGTATACATCCCTTGAATAGGGACCAGACCTCGTTGATGCATGACTTCCTCGTCACGGAGGCGAACTTGGAGGCAATAGGCAATGTACACGTCGATATTTAAGTCAGTACACCGTGAGTGTTCAGCATTGAGTGTACACTCAAATACTCAATAACGAAACTACAACCACTTTTTAAGACTTTCAATTACCTACTTTAATGACATATAAACTATTGAAGTCTTGGTAAATGTGAAACATTAGACTAAAAACAATGTGCACGAAAATAAATGAACGCGTTACAAGTTTGCTCATTATTTTTATTGGTATACATTATAAGCAATATCAGGAACCTTGATARATTTTTATAATTCAAACTATGGTATTATAATATGATAGTTTTTATGACCTACATAATATATAATTGATCATACAATATATTTATTTAAACAGTAAATTAAAACGATCATTAGTTTATGTAGATATAAGTACGCAAAGGTAATCATACTTTCATWACTTTTAATTATAATTTTTTAGGAAGTACCTACTAACTGTAGTACTGCATAATTGCATCATAATTACATGTCCAAACAAATAGCACGTTAGTCTGTTTTGGAGTGATTAATAAAATAATATTATAGTTAGTTTTACATAGGTACTACCTATACGTCTATATTCTACATTTCTATAGTTCTACAATATAATTATAATTTATAATAAGTAACAACAGTAACATAGGTGGTAGATACTTTTGCCAGGAGTTGTTAATTTTTAATCTATTTAGTACTTAGCAGTTTCCTATACCTTAATCTTTTTATCTATTTGTTTATGATTATACTTATTTATACTTCACTATCATCACATTTGTCTCACAGGTAATCATTTTTCCTTTTTATACATCASATTTACATAGGTATTAATTAAATATCTAGAAACCTAACTCATTTGTGTTATAATTGGATAAATATAATTATTTTACCTAAATGCATATTCACTGTATATTGTATAATAATATTAACTATTATAAATAATTTTTTGAAAATAGTTAGAATTATCATTCATGTCTGCTAGGTATTGCTTAATGGCTCTCCTAGATATTTATAATTTACTAGTTAGATACAAGAAGATAGGGAATTTTTTAGTTTATTTAATCAAGCTTATCAAGCTTAGTCTACATATCAATAACATTAACCTGTAAAAATTAGGGTATTGTTTCAATAGATCTTTTGAACATTTTTTTTTTCATTTTTGTATCCTATMCTGGCTATTCTATTTCCATAGCTTATCAGAACGAATACATACTTTATTTAATATATGTAATAATTACTTGTGTGTTGTGTAGTGATCCAACATACCTACCAGTAGTGTCAAGTTGAACAGCAAAATACAAATACACCAAGTATACTTTGACCACAAGAGCAAAGATTCAACTTATAGCTAAGTGACCATCTTACTTTGTTAATCTTAATCATTAGATAAAAGTAACATTAATAAGCGTAGCGAATATTGCATTGTGTTCATTATACTAAACTTAAATATGGAATTACTATATTAAATTATCAAATTTTATAAAGATGGTGGGTACCATACTCAAAAAGTATCAATATAATATGAAACATATCAGTGTATGTATATGCATTAGTATACACCTTAAGCAAGTAAAAAAAAAAAATAAAAATATTTCAAGATATCTAAGAAAGAAAAATTATACAATAATGTACAGAAAACTTTAGATTTCATGGTAATTATAAAAGCACAGTCACTTTTTTGGCAGTACGAATTGTATCATCACAATACTTAGTTTCAATCTGTTAAAACTTAAAACCTTATAATTTAAGTGTAAATTGAAAAAAAAATACACAAGTAATTCTTTGGTTTAGATTCATTTGTTTATTCAAATATTTGCACACAAAACCTAAAAAGTAAATCTTAAAAATTATTTGAAGAATATTGAGAAAAAATAAATTACAACATGTAACAAATACAGAAATTGTTCTTTTTAAAATGGCTAACAAATAAAAAAATATTAAAAGTAGACCATTATTTTTTAAATTTATCTATCGTCTCATAATTTGTGAAAATCAATGAAAATGTATATTTTGTGTTGCATAATATGCAATTACTTATGCAATTGTAATTAATACTATTAGGCATAGTTACCTAATACATTTCAATAGTTTMTAAAAAATGAATAATGGGTTTGATATCAGCAGTTTTCTTTTTTATACAAGAGACYGATATTATTTGCAAATTTCTAACAATAATTTACATAATATAACTTTTAAAATAAACCAACTGCATAGAACTTTGTTAAATATTTACTTTAATTCAATTCTGGTATATCTTATTTTAATAAATTAAAATCCAGTATATACTCTTTTCAAAAGAGAACGGTCACTTTTCGGGCATACAACTGATGGTTACAGCAATTCCAWAGGTTAAATTTCCTAATCTARCTAACCAATGTTTCCCGACACTGGATCAGGCATAAATATTGCCCATTTATGGGTTGTTGGAGATGCGCAACAACTGACAAAAATTGGTTGGCCGGAATGATCGTTCTCTTTTGGAACATGGTATAGTTTTAAAAAGCTGATTTCAGTACAGTTTATTATAAGTTAATTTAATATTATAAAATACAAAC